AATTAATTGATTAAAAATTGAATGGTTGAGATGAGGGTTGTATAGGGTGTAGGAATGACAAAGGGTGTAGAATAACATCCTTCTCTCTCTCTCTCTCTATATATATATATATATGTATATAAATTTATTAATTACCAAAAATTTGGAAAAAAAAATATTTTTTTTTTGCAAAGGACCGGCCGTAACCGGTTATGGGACCGAAATCGGGACCGGACCGGTTACCGGTAAGCTTGACCGGTTATGGAGGATTTCACCAGAACCGGGACCGGTTATGAAACGTTTTTGTCTTGATCGAGACCGGCCGTAACCGGTTATGACCCGGCCCGGGACCCATTTTTGGCCACCTCTAGTCTAGATATTAGTTAAAGTGAGTATCATTTAATTTATTAATTTATTTGGCGAATTGGACGTTCTTTTTCCCAAATTGGGAAATCCATTAGAAAATACGCGTGGGCTGGGCCAGATGTACTTGAACTTGAAGTACCATAAAACCTCAATCTCTCTACCATTCCACCTCTCACATTCACAGCACTGCTTCCTCCAAATTTCTCGCGCCATCGGCTCCTCTATCCTTCCCCGGTAAGCCATCTTTCTACGTTTTCTTCCCACAAATCTTCATCTTTTTTTTTTCTCTAGTTTTTTCTGCAATCTTTTGGTAAGATCAATCGTCTTTCTTCTTTGTCTCGCTTTCGATTATGAGTTATTTATTTCCATCGTTAGGGATTTCTCTCTCTGTGCTTTCTGTATGTAGGGTTTTTCTGTGAATCGTGTATTGCGTTCTATAGTGGGATTATATGCTGTTCTCAAGATGTGGGTTATACGTTGACTTTTGGTTTTGATTATGGTACTTGTTTGAGTTCGAAATCGATACGGGTTCTGTTTTGATTTTTGGGACTTGTTGTTAATTGAGACTAGTGAAGTTCGAAACTGATAAGGGTTATTTGTTGGAAATGTAGCGCCGATCTTGTTTTATCTTGATTTATTGTACTCGTTATGAAGCTTAGTGTACTAATTAGAATATCATCGAATGAAAGAATTTTATGAAATCTGGCATTTATTTTAGTGATCTTATAAGATCTAATATGGGTTTTTGTTGCAAATTTAGCACCAATCTTCTTTTTTAAGGTTTGTTGTACTTGCTATGAAGCTTTTAGTGTGAAAGAAAGAATTTTATGAAATCTGGTATTTATTCCAGTTATCTTATAAGAAATTAATACCACTTTTTGTTGCAATTTTAGTACCAATTCTTTCTTGTGATTTGTTGTACTTGTTATGAAGCTCTTAGTGTGCTAATTAGAAATTATTGAAATAAGAAATTTTCTGAAATCTGACAATTATGTTAGCAATCTTGGAAGTAGATGGTATCTTAGTTCTCTTTTTATAGATATTCATGTGTGGGTTTGCATGTTTTGTTTCGGTTTTCTTTTGTATGATATTGTGGTATAGTTTGAAGAGAGTGTAAGTTTCTCTGTAACACTGTTGTGTTTTGTTTAAACCTGTAGCTGATCTATCTGTGATGTATTGATGTGATCTTGATGTTTAATTTGATAGTCAGTTAACCCCTTTTGTTTTTTTCTTTCATGGGGTTCGATTGTTTATACAATTTGTAGTGTTCTTTTTTTCTTGATAGAAGATTATTAATATTTGACAATATACAGGGAAACAGATGTCTTTAGACAACTCCTGCGCACATAAGTGGTTAATTTTGCGTGTGCACTTGATGAACCGGGAAAGGCTGGGAAGCTCTGGGTGGATTTTTTTCCGCCATTGGACCTGATAACGATTAGGAATTTTGTCTTTCTTGTTTGCTAGCTAGTTACTTCCAGATTTATTGGTTTCAATAAAATATTGATTGTTGGACGTCTTTTTATTAGCTTTTTCATGACAAGTTCATCCCTCATTCCGGGATTTCGCTTTCATCCTACTGATGTTGAGTTGGTTATGTACTACCTCAAGAGGAAGTTATTGGGGAAGAAGATTAATACCAATGCTGTTGCAGAGGTCAACATATATGATTTCTGTCCATGGGATCTTCCAGGTACTTGTATTTCCTGAATACGAAAAAGAATGCTGCCTTCATTTACTTTTACCCTCTGCATCTTCAAAATCTTGGCATTTTAGGACAAAACACCACAAAGCTTTCTGTTTTCAGTCTCTAGATTTTGATAGGTGAAAGAAGCTCGAAAATGACCTATATTGACAAAAGAAAACCTCAAGTTATTTGATTTAGCAAGTTCAAGGTTTGGTAGTCATCCCTAGTTGGCTATGATATTATATATTTTAAATAATTTCCGTTAGTTTTCCGCCTGTTCATTTTTGTTCAAGCAGTATGCATTGTCTTGCTCTGACAAATAGTTTTGAAGGCGAATGCATATTGCTTGAAGACAATTCATTTTTGTTCAAGGTTAATCTGACAAATCATACTCGGGGTTCAACTTATCTTCACTTGTTTTCCTTTTTCTATGAGCACTAAGCGGAGAATATTGAGTTGATTTATATGCATGATCCAATTGATCTTACACTAAGCAGAGAATATTGAGTTGATTTATATGCATGATCCAATTGATCTTTAAGTCATACATACCCAAGATCAAACTGAAACTACTGTGTAATCTGGCAATCACAAACAGTTTGAAAGCATATGCATTTCAATAGAAAAGATATGCATTCATTTTCATGTAGAAGGAATTTTTATAAGATGATTCTTGCTTAAGACAAGCATCATTAAGTCGGTCTACCAAGAAAGTAGTTTTCAGAATTATATCAAGGAAGGTCCTGATAATCTATGCTTGTTTCTATAAGTAATTTGCAATCACAAGGGAAATCAACAACTCTATTGGCTCTTATTAAAAGAAGTATCAATATGTTTTTTGTAAAGATAGAGATCTAGAAAGAGTATGGGCTGTTTGGTTGCGGCTTAATGGGCTGAATAGGTTGTATGTTCTGTTCCCCATACAAGGGTATCCGGTTGTGGCTTAATGTGTCAGCTGATGTCTTATTTGGTCAGCTGGAAGATAGCTCCTTGTATCCATTAAGCCATCTATTTTTCCATCAATGACCTTGTCTCAAAACCCACATCTGAAAGAATTAGAACTCTCGCCTTTTAAAAAAACTCTCAAACCCGTCATGTTTACCCTCTTCCATTCCAGTCCTAACCTCGCCTTTGGTACTCTTCCAGCCCTCACCTTGCCGTTTCAGTCCTCTCTCAGCCCCATACTCTCTGTCGTCAACCTCTCCTCGCCGTCACCAGTCGTTTCTCTGGGACCGACTACTCATGAAATCGATCTGCTAGAAATCAGTGACTCCTACACTCAATCTTGCCTGAAATTAACTACATTTCTTTAACAATTATAACAACTTTTAACCTAGATGTAAGCTTCTTTAATATCCTGGAAATATTGCTAGTCATTAATGACTGATTTTCATACTCAATTTCTTTGATAACTATAACACATCAACCTTGAACTTACGTTTGCTTTGGGTATTGACTTGTTTTTGGGGTTGAAGATTGCTGTTGATCTTGTTGATATGGTTGTCACAGTGATGTTCTTCAAGTGATGTTATTGTTGTCACAGTGATGAAGATTGCCCTTGATATTGTTGTTCAAGTTTAAAAGCTGTTGAAATGAAGATTTTTGTTGATGTTGGTAGATGGGTAAAATGGAAAACTTCATGAAAAAACAAAAAGGGTAGAATGGTCATTTTTGTCGTACAGGCAGTTTATTCATCATAACAAAGGAACATCAATTTAGCTTAATCCATACAGGAGTTATGGAAAACAACCAAACAGCCTCTAACTTCTGCAAGCTGAATATATCTAGTCTTTGTAAAAAAACTTGAAGCAATGCAACATCCGTCATGCATTTTGATACACCTGATATTAATAACGCACTTATGTATTGATTATGAAATTTTCATCTGATATCTCATTTTTATAGAGGTTATCTCACAACCATAAGAGAAGCACTTATGTGTTGGATCTTGAAAAGCCCTCCTACTTTACTTGAATTATCTGCATTACGGATAGGAGGAGTTGTAGACGCCAGACTAGGGGTGGGCATCTAGGAAGTGAACTGGAGAGACAGAGGGTAGGGGATAGGGTTAGTAAGTCGGTAGTTAGGGGTGTGTAGTTTCCACACCTTGGTTATGTTTTTCTTGTACCTGCCTCTATTTATATCAATGTTGCTTAATTATATCCATCTTTCTCTCCTATTTCTATTGCTATTGCTTACCCACATCTAGCTCTTTAAATCTTAGCTTATCTGGTTTAATTTTCACTTTCACACACTTCTCACTAGCCGGTGGTCTTCTCTACTCTTTAGGGTAGAGTTCAGACTACATCCTTATCCCCCCCCCCAAAAAAAAACCGACTCCATCTTCGGGTGGCATATATCAGGCTCGTTTGGTTTGCTTCGGATCTTAAGGGGTTATTGTGTTGGATTCTGCAGATATGTCCTCCTTGAAAAGTGGAGATCTAGAGTGGTTCTTCTTCTGCCCAAAAGCACGAAAATATTTAAATGGGTCTAGATCAAATCGTGCAACGGAAACTGGGTTCTGGAAAGCCACTGGGAGAGAGAGGCCGGTCACGTACAGGGAAAGAACTGTAGCAATGATCAAGACGTTGGTTTTTCACCTAGGAAATGCACCAAATGGGAAAAGAACAGATTGGGTAATGCATGAATACTGTATGAAAGATGGGCATTTGGATAATGGAGGAATTGTTCAGGTATTTTAGGGTTCTTTTTCATATTTCTAGTTTAGCAAAAGTTTCCCCTTTGAAGTATTGTCATAATGTTATCTGTATGACAATCTTCACATGAATATTTCCGCAATCACTAAGAATACTTTTAAACAACTTCATTTTGTCGTTAGCTTTGTGGGCCATTTTATGGCTATAAATATTATGTTCGACTTTGGACCCAAACATGTACTCCTTCGATTACAAAATAAGTGTCCACGTTTCTATTTTAGTTTGTCCCAAATAAGTATCGACCTTCAAAACTAAGTGTCTGCTTTTCATTTCTACTCTTAATTATGAGATGAAGAAATTCATCTCTCCCTCTATTATTAAGGGTAAAATTATCATTTCGTTAATTAAAAAGTGTAGTAATTACACATTTCTATAACTGTGCCTTTTTCATCGTGAATACTTATTTTGGGACAGAGGGTTTACTTATTAACGTAAATTTATTAGTGGTTATTGAAAAGAGTTCTTTAACTTTAACTTCAATTTTACTTGACACACTTGATCTGTGTGTTTCAGGATGCGTATGTGCTTTGTAAAATCTTTCAGAAAAGCGGTGCAGGACCAAAAAATGGTGCACAGTATGGTAAACCATTCAACGAAGATGAGTATGATGATGATGATGTAGCCATCTGTTCTGAACCTCAAGCAGTCATTGGTCCAGATGGGACTACAAACACTCTGAACCACAAGCAGAAGGGTCCAGCTACAATGACACTGACTGAACCAGGCTCCTCTACCGTCACATTTTCTGCAAATGAGACTACAAACACTAGTAACCACAAGCAGAAGGGTCCAGCTATAATGAACACAGCTGAACCTGGCTCATCTATGGTCACATTTTCTGCAAATGAGACTACAAATGCTCGGAACCACAAGCAAAAGGGTCCAGCAACGATGAACACTAGTGAACCAGGCTCATCTACCGTCACATTTTCTGCAAATGGGGCTACAAACGCTTGGAACCACAAGCAAATGGGTCCAGCTATAATGAACACAACTGAACCTGGCTCATCTATTGGCACATTTTCTGCAAATGAGACTAGAAACGCTCGGGACCACAAGCAGAAGGGTCCAGCCACAATGAACACAACTGAACCAGGCTCATCTACCGTCACTTTTTCTGCAAATGGGGCCACAAACGCTTGGAACCACAAGCAGAAAGGTCCAGCTACGATGGACATGATTGTGCCTCAAAGGACATGTAGCTTGATCCAACCAGGTCCATCTACTTTCATGTTTTCTGCAAACAAGAGATGTGCAGATGTACCTGCCAATGATGATGTGCTGTTTTTGGAAGATATGGATTTATTTATGAGGGAATCATCTACCGATGATGATGATGATGGATTATTTTCTGAAGATGTTGCTTCAATTATGGGAGTATCTACTGAAGATGTTAATGGCAACAATAAGAAAGAGGTAAGCAACCTTCTCTTGCTTTAAGTGATTAAGTTCTCACAGTTGGTACTTTGTGTTCCTTCATTTTTGCATAAGTAGAGAAAAACATTACAGTTTGTTTGAATGAAGTTTGGTTTAGTTTCTGTTTAGTGTAACAAAGAATTTTTTCTCAATCGATTTAATAAGGTCTCGAAATGTCTTATTTTGTACCCCATTTTGACCTGTAACTTACTATTCATGTAACATTTGATTAAGTGGATACCCATTTACGGAAGGTTTACAAAAGGGTTAAAATGAAATGGATGATAAACTTAACAACTATGTCATGAAGTGTTGCAAGATCAACAGGTTATGCTTGAATGGGTAGAAAAATAAGAATATTTTACAACTATGTTGCATTAAAATATGTTTTGAAAATTATTTGTTACACTAGATAGGAACTCAGGCAAATTGCATTGCATTTGGATTCGTTTTGCCGAAATATAAATGCAAATTATTCAGTCTTGCAACAATCTAGTGTTTCTTTAGGGCAAAAAAGACAATTATGATGATTTGGAAAGTTGATTTCACTTTGGTTTTACCTTTAGTAGAAGGGTGTAGTTTTTCTTTACTGTTCCACGGAAACAACCACTATACTCTTTTGGGTAGAGGACAGGTCTGCATACATCCCCCCATGGCCCTACTTTCGAGTGGGATATATTGTGTTGCTTTGGTTTTGTTTCTTATGTGTTGTTCTTGTCATATAAAGAGTTGACTATGGTCTAAAATTGTTTTGATGATATTTACTACACCCTTTTAGGCTATGAATGGTTATACATCTGATAACTTATTTTGTTTATGCTAATGATGCCATAGTAGCAGGCGGCTTTTTTGGCTCAGTTTATTCTTCCCTCCAATCTATGAATCTGCCACAACATGCCATGCCTAAATACAGAGTAGAGCTTAGAAAGATTGAAAATAGATTTAGAATTGATGCAAGCAAAATGAATTCACATATTACAGTTTTATGATTTTAGAAACTAACCATTGGAAACTGTTGGACCGTAGTACCGACAAAGAACTAGCCGTTGGAAAGTGCAAAATGGTCATTAGTGGCTGTAAGAAGTCCACAAGTGCTATCTTTTCCATTTCTTTCAAATGTTTAAGCTTTGCCAGTACCAGACATATAGGGTCTGTTCGACTGTCTGGTATGTGGCTGTTTGACTGTTTGGTATGTGGGAAAGGACGAGAGTGGAAGGTACAAAAACTTGACCCATGTTTCGCACCACAGTAGACTGTTACAAAATTGCATTTTTGATTTTCTTCTGTCCCATTAAAATAGGTGGAACAAAAATAGGGAGATAAGATAAGACTGGTAAATTACTAAACTACCCATGTCTAATTAAAACCCGAAAACCTTCCAGCATTCTTTCACTCGCACCTCACTCTCACCTGTTCTCTCCTGACTGCATACCAAACGCACCTATAGTGACAGACAACATAGGATACTAATGGAAGTAGCCTCTTTACCCCTTGGGATAGAGGAAGGCTGCGTACATTTGACCCTCCCTACACCCCACTTCGCACGGGTATTCACTGGATTTGTTTGGTTGCTTGCTTTTATACTGCATGTGCAATCATATTCCATGGAGGTATTTGATGTTTTTATATTGATGATTTATTGTATTGTGTTTGTACACAGGGGTTTGAGAAAGGGAAAAGTGTTGCAGCTAATGATGAGAATGGTATTTATGACAACTTAGACGACCTGTGTAACCTGGACGATTTGGCATTCAAGACCGATGCAGCGGAGCACACACTTGGTACCAGTACTCTCACAGTTGATGATTTGAGAGATTTTTATGTTGATTGAAGACCAAGACCATTGGTCTGATAATAGTTTTAGCAATCTGGTGGTCTACTTCTGTTTGGCCTTTGATTATGTGGTTAACTGTACTGATGGATTCTCTGTATACTTGGATTTTTGCTGGCTGAATAAATGTTTTTCCATTTCTTATTTCTGATTTGTCTACAAGTTTCTGCTAGTGATATCCATAGATGTTGGTAAAGTTTTTTGTTCTTGTCATACTCAATCGGTAAACGCTTACTCAATAAGCACTCGGTAAGCTGTTGGCTGCTGTTATCATATGACATGTTTGGTGAAAATAAATGTTTTGGAAAAAAATTATTGAGATGGAAAGAAAAGGTTTTAGAACCTATAATTTATTGAAACACTATTAACCAATTCATTTCTTTAACTCAAAATTTTCACCAAATTACTCCAAACAGGACACCAAATCTGGTGTAATGGGTACTGACAAATCAAATTTGGTGTAATGCTATTCATTTACTTAAACTTTTATAAATTTGGGTGCCGTATACCAAATGTTTACATGGGTAAGTGCTTACCAATTCACTTTACTTTACCGGATGAATATGGCAAGCACTAAAAATCTTACCCGGTAAGTGAGAACGAGGACTCAACATGGTTAGCGCTTACCGGGATAAATTGTTGCATACGATGCATTTTAATGAATAAAATCTTACCCGGTAAGTAAGCGATAGTATTAAATTTTACCGGTGAATGTTTACTGGGTAAGTGTTTTGGTAAACGTCCCCCAAGTGTTACCTATCATAAATATCCCAAGTTAGGAAGACCATCACCAAGAAGGACACCAAATGTTGCATCAAATTTGATGTAATGAATAGTTACATATAATGAATAAAAATGAAATATACAAAACTGACGTGTTATTATTTAAATAACTAAAAATAATAATAACACAAGCTAAATTTGCATTATCATATGGCTTTTTTTCACTTTGACAAATATTAATTCTAGTATTCTGCAAATTTGTTTCAGGTATTCAAGGGAAGTTTGAGAAACAAGTCCTCCTACATACAATTAAAATCTGATAATGCAAAACACTATTGTCCCTCTATAAAAATATCCACAGAAACACTTCATCTACAACGCCGCCACGTTTGTGTCGTCGGCCACCTCCTTTTGATGTTGCTCACCATCCGACGATAAAACTGCCTTCCCTTTGCTATCAGGGGCGGTCGTATTCAGACCCGCCTCCCAGCTGCCACTGCCACCACCACCGCCACTGCTGCTTTCTGCAACTGAGGTTTTGTTGGATGCAGGCTTCTGTAAGCTTTCAAGCTGATTTTGCAGCACCTGTTTTGTTCAACGGGTGACATCAAAAAACCAATTGGCGATGAGTGCATATGCCCAAACGATGAGATCACGTATTTATTTTCTATCACATGCGTTCTTTTTACTAAGATGTTCTCAACGTACCCCTTGGATTTTTATTTGGCTCTTAGGCTGCTTACATATGAAGAAAACATTCATAGAAGCAAGCCATGCACATGGATTGATAAGCATGTATTAGTGTATGACGATAAGGTATCAAAAAGGATGGAGTTGATAAATAATGTGCGTTTAGTACATGGACAGTACAAAAACTTATTGTCCCACATTTGGCACGACATCAGACTGGGATAGAAAAAAACCTGAATGGGACAGAAATGAAGTTTTTTGTCCCACAAAAATAGGTGGAACAAAAAATTAGGGAGATAGGACAAGATAAGTAAATTGTCAAACTACCTATGTCAAATTAAAACCTTAAAACCTTCCAAGATTTTGTCAACCGACTATCTCACTCTGATAGGTCTAGTCCTGGCCAGTTCTGTCCAATACCAAACGCACCCTAAAAAGCTAGTGGATGAGCCCAAATCGTCGATGAGATCAAAAGGCAGTTGATAGTCCCAAAGGCTCATGTATTACAGTATCAGTGTATGAGGATAAAGGTTCTTTTAAAGCATAGTACTTATGGTAGGCTATGTTTGGCAAACTAGCTGACAAGCTAGTTGTTGGTAAGCTGGATGATAATGTAAAATGACCTAAAAGAACATGTTGAAAAAATACAAAGGGGCACATTTAGGAAAGAAAAATGCAAAAGAGCCCCTAGAGCTTAGTGAAAAAAGCAGTATTTCAAAAAGCTAGCTTGTGGCTAACCAAGCAGAGCTTTTCAATAAGTTCAACAAAATAAACCAGCTTATCGTTGCCAAACATGGACTTAGTCAGCCTCTTGACATGACATGAGCTCGAGGGGGGTAAACCCAAAGATTTCTTATAATAGTATGATGAATACTTCATCGTTAATATTCATTAGGAGTATCAGGTTCCAATACCTCAATCTGGTGCTGAATTATTTTTTTCTGGGCTTCCAGTTGAGAGACGGACATCTGCAGGTTGGTGCTCCATCCATCTTCATGGTTAGGACTCACACTCGGAGCATCAACTGGTATAAAATAGGGCTGTGGGAACTGAAAAGATGGAAAGTTTGCAGGATTGTTCGGGATTGAATTCCCATGTTCGCCAGAAGAAGCTGCATTATTGACGTCGGTGCCATGTGTGGATTTGTTGGGAAGTACAGCATATCCAGATGACCTGCAAATAAAGTGTAAAAGAAGTGAGACTTTGATGAAGAATAGAAATCGAGAACAGAAATTAACACAGAAAAGTTAAATTGAGAAGGAAGGTTATTCGATTAATACTCAACGAAAAAGAAGAACA